ACTTACTATATATTATAAGAGTGGGATATAATAGCAGAAGATACCCCTAATGGAATTTTCACAAAGAAAATGAGATCACAAAGAAAATAAAAATCAATACTAATAAAAAACAGTTATTATTATTATATGTTCATTACTTATTGGAGTTTCATAAGTGTTTTAGGAGCAACTATTAAAATTCTCGTCTTGATGCAAGTTACGAGTTTGGATGTCTAAACGAAATCTCAAGAAACCAAATAGGTCAGAAATATACTATCACAAACACTTAATCAGTGACACGTAAATAGTGATTTAAAAGTCCTATTAGATAAAACAAACTGATGATATACCTATGATCTCCTGACATGATTTTAGACAACCAAGAATTGATTTCAGACGGCATCAATTACTAGAAAGCAGTAAGACCTGTAAATAAAGTTAAGTCCCTGCTTTAGCAGAAGCATCAACGCAGAAAATATTGTTTAATAAACACATTTTGTTAAATTTTTTATGGATTGTTGAGCAAAATATATACATTTAAAAAGCCAATATAAAAAATGCTTATAATATAATAAAATAGATTTCAAATAGCATATAATCGTATATGAATACTTAAACAATATGACGTTATAAACCGACAGAATTCTAGATATTGGTAATTAAGTCTCTCAGTTCTTAAGGTAGTTAAATAAAACTATGCACAATGTCTCATTGTGAATCAAATTATATGAACTCGGCAAACAGTTAATTACATCGACACACAAACTATCTATAAAAAATTAATAAAAATTTTAAATACTATTAAATATCAATAAATAAATAAATATTATTTAATATTAATAATAAGTTATAAATTAGTATTTAAAATTCTAAATAATATATTTTTATTGTTAATTAAAGATTGCAATTAAAAAGAAATTTCTTAAGCTCGAAAAGAATTTTATAAAAATAACATGTTGTTAATAATTTATTTGTAACAAAAATACATCTAAAATATTATTATGGTTGCTAGTAAGTTATATCAAATCATATGCTAACAATGATATATCTTAACTCCTATTTTGATATGAGCCAGTGGACGAATGCTATGCGGGAAGCTCTTGTTTCGTTCTGGTATTACGGAAGATTCAATGGGAGGCAATATGGTTTTTGTTCGTAAATTGAATATATGTATTCTATTCGGTTCGAATCAATTACTAATATAAGGACCATTATATGCAGACAGACGATTGATCACGGGAGTTTTACTCTCTTTTGGGTCATGAGCACACATTATGTTTTGGAGAGAATCATATCACAATTGTCAATTACTTACCTTTACTGCTATTATGGCACGTATTCTTTGTGTCTACATTAAACATATATTTATTTTTATGTGGATATGCTTACATATCCACACAAAAACACATATGTTTACTTTTAATAGCCAGAAGTTTTGACATTTATTACTGAACAACACTGATTTTAGCCAACGATGACGATGAGAAAGCCTCATCACCATGACCAAATTTGTTCTTTCTTTCACTCTCAATTTTCATTAAAAAAACCATAAATTTTTATTAATAACATGACCGTAAGAGATCTAATGACTTTGCAGTGTATTTTTACACTGTAAGGCTAAAACTCATTATTTTCTATTTTGCAATATATTCTATCCGTGATAAGGTTTATTTGACACACTTGGTCAAATTTATTTATAAATATTTAGAATAGCATTGTTTACATTAAATCGATTGAATCAATTTATATATTCAAAAAAACCTTAATTCATAAGATATTTCCATTATTTAAATAAAATTACATAAAATGTGAATAACCTGAGATTTGATTCATGCCACTTTACTGCCTAAATGTGGAATTTTTCATGTTAAGCTTCTTAAAACGAAAGCAGGTGACTCACTATAAGAATAAAAATAAAAAGCAATAGATGCGTAGTTACCTATTACATTGCATTTAAATATTTTTTTTAAATTTTTATTAGACCAAATTCTAAGAACCCAAACATATTTAAATTAATTAATAAAAATCAGTATGAATATCTTATACGAATGAAAGCAAACAACTACCTCACAACCCTGTATTTAAGTTAATTCCATTTCATTTTACACTTTAGCACTACGTAAGGTACGTGCACGTTTGATTTCCACAACGTGCACTTCAATTTTACTACGAAATGACCACCCATCCTGTCGTCTGTCTTGTACGCCCAAACAATCACCCAAACAATACCTATCAACTTGCCCGGCATTTCACACCAATTGTTGGGCATATGAAACTTCGCAAACATGTAAGTTAGCATAGAATCAGTATAGACCATTAGGCAACACGTAAGAAGATTTGACATTGACAGTAGCACAGCGAAAGCAACTAAAATCGTCGCCGGTGCTCAAATGTTTGAAACGCGCCTGCGCAATGCACAGCATCCAATGAATCCGTGCAACCACCAACAAAGGATGCTGCTGCAGGATGCCGGTCATTGAATGCCATTACCAATTGTCGGAATCATTAACGTAACGTGCGTTAAAAACGTCAGCTCGTGAACGGTGTTTCGGTGATTTTTGGTTAATTCCTGAACGTTAAGCATTTCTGAACGTACAAAACGAAAGCGGCAATTGACGAGAGTCGAGTGTCGACTATCGAATGACGAGTATGTGTAACAATTTTTTGCTTTCCTGAATGAAAGATACTCGTACGTGCCCGTAAGTTGGCGGAGTTAACCAGATAATGAACAATATTTTGCAGTAGCTAAGATTTCTAATTAATTAATTAGGCACTTGAGGAAGAACTTGAACTCTACAAATAAATAAATAAATTTATTAAAAAAAAAAATAAACAAACAAATAACATGATTAAATAATTATACAAAAAAAGCAGACAAAAAAAAATTAATTTAATAAATTGCAAACAATTTATGAAAATATTAAAAGCCGGTTTAATTATAGTAAAGGTCAAAATCCACAAATTTTGAGACGCATGAACTCAAACTGGTTCCAAATTAAGCATGTGTGTAAAAATCAAGCGAAGTAATATTACAAGGCGAGGGGGGAAAATTTTGCAAATGTTGCGTATACGTGCGTTAAAAATGCGTGCGAGTGTAGCATAGCAATAGGCCAGCAAAAGGCGGACTGAAATAGAATCCAAACACAGCATACAAAGCAACGACGATTAACGACACCTGCAATCAATGGACTAAAGCGCGGCGAACCAAAGTTTTGAAGACGAAGCCAAAGACGACTTTATGTGCACAGCGAAAGCCACAGTTGAAGCTACAACCAACCAACCCAACAAATAGTAAAGAATTCATAAAGAAATGAGAAAAAAGAAAAAGAAGAGCGAAAGAACAATTTGGTGCTAGTTGGGCAACGTTGGGCGACGTTGCTAGTTCGGACAAGAAAGTCTTAAGTCTTAAGCTGACTGCCTCAAACTAAGTTAAGCTTTGTAATTGTTACGGCGAAAAATAAGCAACAACAAACAAACGCAAAACACAAGAAGTACCCGCAAACACTGTACACGACGAAACACAGTGGCAAGTCTTCGGTTTGGCTTAAACTCAACTTTACAGCTTCGTGCTGATTCTTGTTGTTTTTGTTTTTTTTTTTTTTTGAATTTATTTTCTTGTAACTCATCTTCCTCTTTACTGCACTTTACTTCACTTCAGTTTACTAGTTTTATTGTTGTTTGGCGCTTAAGCTGCTTCCTCAACGACGTCACATACTGCAAAAAAGTGCTGTGTGCGGCCGTTGTCTTCTCATGACCAAGAACTTGAACATGACCAAAGTTCTCACGACAAACATGCAGACAAAGTAGTTGCTGAGGAACTTCTTTTGCTGCGCTAAAAGAAGCAGCAAAGCAAGCAGAACTACACAATAGCAACAGCGCAATACAGCGCAATAGCTAGCAGCAAAAATGAGTTAAAAATATTGTTGCAATGCCATTGCAGCAAAAATATAAAAATATGTACACGGCAAATGGTAGAATTGGTACCATTGAATGACCAAAGTCATTATGATATTTACAGACAGCCGGCTTTGATTTTACAAGTGCCGTATGTAGTATGCATGCATATTTGAGTATATACGACGAGTATGTGTAAGTCTTCTTCAAACAAATAAAACGCCGGTTAAGTAAACTTTGCGCGCGTACTCTCTTTGTGCTCACTTACAAGCAATTGACATGTAAAATCTCTTTAGTTTTTTTTTCTTACATTTTTTGTTGTTAACATTTAGGTTTGTTCTTTCTTCAACTTGACCATCGTCATCAATGTACCAAGGGCGCAGCAGCAGCAGCAGTAGCAGCAACAGTGACAGTAACAGTACTCTCTGCTGGTAATAGCAGCGCTGTTGCGTTTGACTGACCAATAATTTAGCAAAAGCTATAAACAAAAGCGCGCAAACGAACGCATATGTTTAATGAAACTTGTGTGTACGCTGGATTTGTGATGAATAACATGCTTGGCACGATCAAACAAAAATCTAAGCGAAGAGCTTACGACTAGCGACTTTGTGCCGATTGTGCCGATGTTTTTGTTATTTGCTGCGTATTGGTCGGTCGTTTAATTGCTGCTTACGCTCTACAACTGCTAGCTGCCGGCGTAACAGCATACGAGAATTTACTACGTTTATGTTCTTTGATTGTGTTTTATATTTGCTTTTGCTTACTTTGATTTTGGTTTTTTGCCTTTTTTCTTTGTTTTTTCTTTTTCTTTTTTAAAAGCATTTGTTGTGAATTTGTGTTTTAAGTTCTCTCGTTTGTTTGATTTGGTTCGATGTTGCTTTGGCTTTTGCTGTTGTTGCTAGTTGCTCGTTGCCGGTTGATATTGGTTTGGTATTGCGTTTGCTGTTGCTGCAGCTATTGTTTGAATTGTTGCTGCTGCTGCTGTTGTTGTTGATGCTAAGTATTTTTTTTGTGTAGTGTCCGCGCCGTTAACGTAGTCGCCGACGTTATTGTTGTTGTCTGTCTCGTCCGTTGCTTTTCTCCAAATCACCGCCGCTCTACGGAGGCTATAAAAACAAGCGTTGAGAAGTTATTACTCCGAGTCTCTTTGAATTAAATGAAGCGGTTGTATCTGCTGCCAACAACCAAAGTTGGTCGTCGTAACATCTTCTTGCAATATTACTTCTAATCATTTCAGTTAATTTAAAATTTGTTTAATTAAAATAAATTTTGTGAAATTAATTTTATTGCCAATACAGACCAATACGGATCATTTTGCGCAGCCACAAAGCATTAGGCAAGCAAGCGCCCAAAAGAAACAATTTTTTTGAAAAGTATTTTTTTAATAAAATAAGAATATTTCAAAAATTATTTTGCTATTATTAAAATAACGATATATTAAAACATTGTCAATAAAAAAGTGAGTTTAACTAAAAAATAAAATCAAGCTAATGAACACAGTGTGGCTTAAAGGATAGTCGCAAGGACTGCAGTGAAATCAAAAGTTGAATTATCGAATCGAGATTTGCTGAGGCAACTTCAGCTTAGCAATTATTTCGATATTCGTTGAAAAGTGAAGAAAGTGCAAAGTTCTTAACTAAAATAAACTGAACAGCAAAAAGGATATTTGCGATTCTGAAAAGTGAACTTTTCTTTATTAAAGTTTGGCAATTGTGACAAAACGACTTTAGAAATTTTTTCGACATTTTTAATTAAAAAAGGTGAGTTTCATTTCATAATTGAGAAAAATTTTTAAATAAAAAGGATAACTGCATTATGTGTTATGCGTAGAAGTATTGATTTCTAAGTATAAAATTATAAAAAGTAATTATTTTTAATCAAATATATGTGAAGTGGTATTTATTGAGAAATCTGTTTAATATTTTATAATAAAATTTGTGAGTTTTGAAAATTTTGGGTATATCAGATCCAAACTTTATTACACTATAATATAGTGCTAATATAAAAATTCCAAAAATGGCAGTACAAATTTCCAATAAAAATTTGCAAATATATTTAAAATTATAATTTTAAATAATATTTGATTTTTGTTTAACTTATATCCATTTAAGAAATATATAATACTCATATAAAATATAATATAATATCTACTCAAATCAATTTAAATTTATTTACTAAATATATAATACCCATATAAAATATATTATAATATAATAATGTTATAATATAATAATAAAAATAATAAAACGAATTATTTTATGTAGAATTTTTTTTGCAATATTTTAAATAAATATATATTTTAAAATCCATTATTTTATAAATTAGATTTTTTAATATTAAAAGTACAAATATCGCAGAATAATTAGCAGTAAGTACGTTAATAAATTTATTGCAAAAGATATTTGATAATGGATTTTATATTTAACAAAATTGTGTTAGAATTTGTACTGCAAAATACTAATATAATTTTATTAAAACAGAAAATCTATTATCAAAATTTTTTTTCTTAAATTATATTAATAATTTATTTGCTGAATTATTTGTTGAATTGTTTTACTTATACTTTTAATTTTATTAATCTAATTAATATAAAAATTGATCCCATATTAAACAATAAAATTAAAATTCCGAATTTAAAGGAAAAACAGTTTTCAAAAAAAAAATTATTTAATTAATATTAAGTATTAATTAATTAATTTTGATTAATTTTATTATTACCATTTTAAATATTTTTTCTTCTTTATATATTTTTTAATTTATTACTTCATATAAGTATTTGCAGGAAACATATCTAAAAAGGGTATTATCTTAACATAATACATAAAGTTGTATAATAGTATATAAATTAAAAGTTAAAAAAAAATTACTAATAAATAATATTTATATTTAGTATTAAATTACATTTTAGTTATTCAAACATTTTTTAATTATATAACATTTTTATAACTTACAACTTTTTTTTGAATTTTATTTGTATTGAATTGTAATTAATTATGCAACAAAATAAAATTAAATTAAATTATTATTAATAATTTAAATTATATTATTAATAAATTTTTTTATTATTTACTAAGAACGTTACTTTTATTAAATAGATTTTAAATTCTTATTCATTAATTTGTGTTCAAAAAGATCAACTATATATAATATTGTGCCTATGTTTTTGCATCAAACTAATATAAATGTTTAGTAAAATTTTGCAATAATTTTTTAAACTCTCAAGCTGCGTTCTGTATTTTGTGGCCATTTCTTTGGCAATAGAACTTCAGATTATGTAGAATTTGGTCTTCCTTTTATTGCTGTGCTGATTACTTTTAGGTTTGATGTTTATAGAGCCTGGTCACTTTATTTGGTCATTTTAATTAATTGTCATTCGTGATGCAATTTTTTGAATATTCAAATCTTTTCATAATTATTTTTCCATAATATTCCTTTTAAAACACTAAAAAATAATTAAATCAATCTATTAGTAACTGTTCTACCAATGAACATATCATTTGCTTATACGTGAAATTTATACAATATATATAAAAATTTATGTGACTGATATATTGAAATATATACTATATGCAATATGTACATGCAATATGTACATGCAATATTACATAAAATAAATTAAGAATAAAATAATAAAATATGTAAGATAATTTTAATTTTTTCTATTACCAAAAAACAAAAACAAAATTATATGTAGGATGATTACAAAAAATTTTTATTAAAAATGTACTTAAAAATTTTTAATTAACTATTCCAAAATTAATGAAATTCTAGAGAAATTTAGAAACTTCATTTAATCACTTTTAATTTTATTAACTTGTGGAAAGAATAATAATTGAAAATAAATAAACCACGACTATAAATAAATATAAAAAAATATTTCAACAAATTTAATTACAAATAGGTGTTGATTTACAGGTAATTAATTATTTAATTAATATAATAATAAATTGAAATTACTCACGATTTCATTATTGTTAGTTTTATTTTATTTTTTTTATTATTCTTAACATTTTATATATGTAATCTCATTGATGCATTTTCAAATATATGAATACTTTTCCTAATACCATTTTTTAATTAGTTTAATATAACAATATTTTAAATACATTTAAAATATATTTATATTAAATTATGTTTACATTAAAATCAAACTAATATTAAACTGAATGAAATTATAAAAAATAAAATGCGTGCTTACAGAAAATCCCAACAACTTCAGTTAATCTAAATACGTTGACGCATTTGTTTTTACGCTAGTCGAGCAATTCATTCATAAAACTTGGAAATATATAAAAACATTCTCCATTTTATAAAAACGTATAAAATATTTTGCATAAAAGTACCTTTTCCTTAACAAATTCATTCATATTTTTGCACTTGAAGTCATTCAAAGCAATTCACAACAACAACAACAACTGCAAGAGTAGCAACAGCAGTTGAGCTGAATGCCAACAACAACAAACTAGATTAATTCATTCGTCTGAACTGACGTAAAGAAAAAATGTTGAATAATTGCGGTTAGTGTCTGAAAGAAAGTTCTAATGAAAATATTACACATTTAAAATAAATTCTCCACAATTTAAGCTTAAATGTGACACTGAAATGGAGACTGAATATGCTAAAAAAAAATTACAAAATTTTATTTTATATAAAATTTGTTTTTCCACAAATTCTTTGCGGAGCTACTCATAAGATCATTCACAATAAAAAACTGTCGGCCGCTGAAAAATAGTAGTGTATGTAGCATACAGGCTGAATATGACAACTGCTTTCAACGGCAGGACAATAGAAAGACATTTGAATAGGTAGCACTGGCTTATGCTGTTGTCGCTCCCGTGTGAGCTAGTCACTTACATGTAAATATTAAATTCTAAATTTTATTTTGCTTAACACAGAACTACACAGAAAAAAAGATAACTATCACAAAACAAATATGCTGTTACTTATTGTTATGAAAATTGCAAAGAGTAAAATAGTAAATAGCAATTATTTTTCTTGTTATGTCGCCATAAACATAAAATAAACCCCTTTGCCTATAAGTTTTAATATTTGCTCACTCACTGCCAACACTACTTTTATAAAAAATTGGTGTAAAAAAAAAAGAGCGAGTATATTCAGAGTGTAGCGCGCGTTGAGTACGTTCAGTCAGTGCCATGACAATCCTTTGCGTATCGCAATGTGGTCGGTTGAAAATCTAAAGTTCAGGGTCTTCTAAAATTTTTTTTATTTGAATGCTGCAGTTGTGTGCCTTTTATTCAGCGCTGCGCAAAGATGCTTCTTGTAATTTTTCATTTTGAGCTGTTTCGAGTGTGACTTGCCTGCCTGCCTGCCTCCTGGATGCTTATTTTACTTTGATTACAAATGTGCAAGTGCACATTAAAAAAATAAATGCAAAATAAAATAAAGCGCAAAAAACAAAAATAATAATGAATAAAATAATGTTTAAAAAAAATGTAGGAAAAGGGTTTGAGTTAATTAGAATTTATGCGTTAAGGTTAAAAGACACTCAGTTATTAGCATGAAGGACTAACGCAGTGCAGCGTAAGAAAAAATCTTATTGAAACTTATTAAAGTGCAATTTACGTACGAAATAGGCAGGTAATATGCATGAAATATTTTCAATTATGCACACGTGAAAATTTTTGCTTTACACACGTTACTTATGCATGTCGTGCAACCAATCCATGTCTTTAATATAGAAAGAACTAACTATGTATGTGGTCTACCACAACAAGTTTGTGGCATAAATCAAAAACTAATTATACTACAGAAATTGTACGATTAGTGCTCATAGTATAATGTATACTAAAATAAAAGGAAGAATAATGTCTAAGCAATTTTTTGCTGAAATTAATTAATATTAAAATACTGCATTTTGTAATTAAATTTATATAGTAGGTAGGAAGAACTGATTTTGCTATGAACTTCTCCACTTTAGATATATGGTTAAGATTAAGAATCATTAAAATGAGCAACGAAGGAGAAGCTCCTCATGATTGCCAACAGCTTGACTATTTTTCTAATAAGTAAATAATTTAATTTTCTTTCTAATGCTGAAGTATGTGTAATTAAAATTTTTTATGCAATTTAAATGTTTGTAAAAAAAATTATAAACAAATATTCTAAGCAATTGAATGTGTTTAAGTCCTACAAGTATTAAATATACTTTCTACTAATATATAAGCACAACAAACTACACATTTTTTCACATATTAAATAAAAATTATTCTTTTTTATGATGATTAAAGAACATTTCAGCAATTTCCAATTTGGTGTTTAGCGTTGCAACTACTCGCAAATTTATGGAGCTATTAAACATGGAAAAGTTGATTTGTTCACACATATCTGACAGCAGCCGAAACTGCTTTGTACTAGAAATTAAAAATAAATTAGTGTTAAGAATTTATTTATTTAACTTACTCATATTGCAAATATGCTAGTATTCGAATACTTTCAATCTATTTCTTCATATTAAAATCATGTTATGTGGTTTTTGACAATAGATTTCTGCACATCCTTGATTTTTCTTATAATAAATTTTATTCTTCTATTTGAGAACACTTCAATAATTGTTTGCATAGATGTAATGGTCCCCCAGATTACTTAGATGTTTTGACTATACTCCAAAAAGGCACGCCATTTCAAATGGGAAGCCAGATAGAATAAAATTGAACTCTCTTGATATTCAGTTAAGATTTAAATGTTCTCATAGAACTTTCTGCTAACATTTGGTTTAGAAATGCTTACAGACGTTAATCAA